TGTGTTGTTCATTATTGAGAATCTCATTCGAAGTATCTCACTACCTACACATCTGTCATGACTATCATGCATTTTATTGATCCTTTTCTGATCAATATAGTTTCTGTGCTTGGCATCATCATCATGACTTCAAGACACCGAATAAACTTTCGAAAGCAGCCCGCTAACGGTACTCATTTTCGCAATCAACTCAATAAGCGCAAATACTTAATTATTAGTCCTGTAGCTCTTGCTCTTCTGGCCATGCCTCGCCTCATTATCGTGTTCATAGTTGAATAAATGAAGTCGGCACGTGATTCAGCCATGTCGTTTTTGGTGGCCTACTTTATCTCATTTTTGCCACCTGCATTCAGTTTTGTCATTTTCATCTTGCCGTCACGACCGTATAGAAATGAATTCAAGACTTCAATATCCTGTCTTCAAAAGATCTTGCAATGATGGGTATCCATCTGCAAAAGTGATTGAATCATATAATGTTCAAATGCCGAGAGATTGAACCGATAAGTTTTTTTAGAACTCTAAATACAAAGAAAATCATTCTCTTGCAATGGAACAATAACAACTTTTAATCTGGCTAAAGAATCTACTCAACTTTTCTCAATGTTGTTGAACTTATGCTTACTTGTAGTTAGTCTCGTGCATGAGTGTCAGACATGTGCTTTAAACGCTTTATCTCGTAGGTTTTGAACGAGATTCATTTCTCTATAAATGTTCTATAAGCCATGGCATAAAATATGCTAATAATTTATATGCCTTATTACAAAAAGAAATCCATATTCTTTTTAATCAATAGCTCTTTAATTTAAAAACTTGTTGGACGTTCATTAAACTTTTTTGAATATTTATTCTGATCTCATGTTTTCAAGTAGGCGTCGTTGTGAAGTGTGGGTGGGTACAGGGTTGAGAACAAACCCCAGATCCCACCCTGACATACACCCTCATCAACACCCATACTTCCATTGACACTCACACTCTCCGCTTGTGATTTTAAATCCTACGACTAATATCTACCATACCGAACTTTTCTGAAGTCGCAATTTTCGATGGTAAAAGAACCACGATCTTGTTCGAGTACATCATAGTTTTTTGCATCTACGATATGTCGAACGGCGTTTAACTGTTCTATCCTTTATGATATCGCGGTTCATTAAGAAGAAACCGTAGTAACTACCAAACCATCGCAGTGTTGACCGCGACTTTGCTTGAATTTTTTTCCCTGGGCAAACATCAAATAGAAAAATATTAATAATAAAATATAAATATTTTTAGTATAACAAAAAAAAGACCCTACAGAAATTTGTATCAAACCTCATTTCTTAAACTAAACAACCAATAAAATTCAATCGGATCGACTTCTTTTAACCTTAGTAACTCGAAATATAATCAAACAACAGTCTCATACTCAGTTTTCATAATGAATCACAATAAAATGTCTTCGAAAAGTTTACAAAATAAATATCCTTGCAATTATAGCATTGCTGCAAAAAAAAGTGATTCCATGGTAATCAATGTGACATGCTTAGTCATTCGGTTTTGTTACAGCTTCTTTTTCAGCTAAGCAATCCACGAATCGAAATACAAACTCTATATTCACGAACAGTTCGTCATACTCGATCAGTTCATATAGACATGAACAAAAATAATGATTCATTGGAATTTTGAATTTTTGGTATCTTAAAAACATATTTTAAATGAACGAGTAATAAATGAAAAAGTTTTCCAAATAAAAGTTATTGTTCAAGAGTAATTTATGAAAGCAGAATCTTCACTTATGACTCATTAAATTCTTTACAAACAAGATGATAGGCTCGTTCAACTTTTGTCCTAGCTTCATTAGCAGATGGTGCAGCACTTGTTTTTAATTTTTTCATAATACTTTCAAATATTTGTTCAATATCGTTTCTATCATAAGGTTTTCCTTCATTTGTATTCAACAAAATATTTCGTAAATTTTCTTCTCGTAAAATTCTTTTTACATATGCTAATTCTTCACTTGTATAACTTTGTTTAGATTGTTGTGTTTTATATGTTGTTAATTGACTAACATTCATTTGTTTTATTGATTGATTATACCTCTTTCCCCATACAAATATACTTGAAAACCATTTAAATGATTTGTTAAAATCTTTTTCAATTTTTGCTGTCGGTAAATCAACACATGTTTGGCATAATGTTGAAAACCACATTCCAGTATCATAAAGTGTTTTTCCTGATGGTATAGTTTTGACATCCAATAATTCAATTGTCATTGTATTTGATGATTTCATTAATGGTTCACATTGACCTTTACGATTTAATTGAAATTCTTCATAAGTTCCAATACTTATAACAAATTGATCATCAAAATTTTGATAACTACTTGAACGTGTACATTTTAAATATTTAACAAATTTTTGTAATTTTGATGAAACATGTAAAACATGTGTTGATGTATCAAGAAATAAAACTTGATCAATAGGTACACCACGTAATGCATCTAAAACAATGGCATCAGTTTTTGATAGATGTCTTCCTCGTGATAATTGAATACGAAAATCGAATATATCTGAATATGAATCATCTATTGAACGAAATATACTTGACGTTTTATTACGAATAAAATCAAAATTAATTGGATAATCAGATCGAGAATATACTGAACGACAATGGAGTTGTTCATCATATTGAAAATGAAGAATATTATCACGATTATTTTTCATTGCATATAGTTGAACATCATATGAGTATGTATTTGATGATATTTGATGATAGTTAAGTTTAGTAATTGTTGTTATAAGACGTTTTGGTGAAGTAACACCTTTACATGTATAGAATGACGTCTTCAGTTTTTTACCTATGATAAATAAAAAGAAAATATTTCACTAGAAGTTTAAACTTTGTGTTTTTATTAAATAAAAACCTCGATTTCGAAGTATAGCAAAGTCTCTAAGTAATATTGGTTCGTCAGATGTGATATCTATTTGCGATACATAAGAAATTCCAAAACGTAAAAAGATAGAAAGAGACATGGTCTCCAATAATGGTGTTAGAGATGCTATTGTTCGATCATAATCTTGAATAAAACGTTGAAAACTAATATTCAAATCATTCTCAGTATTTGACATTAATTGTGGGAGATAAAGCCGTCTTCCAAGATGTAATGTATTACTGGGTCCTGTGTATGGAATAAATGTAAGAAAATTATTATCTTGTGTCGTATTTTCAAAATAGATGCTAGACGGTGTATTTTGTAAATTGAGTCCCTTCTCTTTGTTATTATCATTGGATTGTTGTTGTTTTGACTTCTTATGTGTCTTTGTTTTGTTATGATGTTTCAATATTTGGGAGACAGCATGATCTAAATGAACATCTGTAGCAATTTCACAATCGGCAAATGGTAAAACATTGGCGTCGTGGTTGTCATCGTCACCTAAGGACATGGTAAAAAACAGAAGAAAAAACAATAATTCTTTGTGCGTGTCTTTTTTTATATTCTGTCGGTCGAGAGAAACAGAAAGAGTAGACAGAGTATTTTTAATCGTTCTTTTTTTCTTTACTGTAGTCTACAAATGCAAATAAAAATACTTTAATATAATATTGTTCGTGTCCCAAATGGAAGACTATTATATAAAGTAAAAATAAGAGTCATCCGAAACGATAACAAAAAACATTCTATTGGTACTGACTTACTGATGAGCAAAGATTTGCAAGTGATCTGATGTTGTTTGCCCTCTATTTTGCTAATATGTACGACGCCATTAGAGTAGCGTAACCTTCAAAAATTCTCTGCTCATGCTTAGATTTGATCGAAGTAGCGACTTTTTAGTAGATTCCTTCTACAAAATAGTCCAGTTTTCGAAAAAAAAATTATATTTTGGAATTTCGAACTGAAGCTTTGTACACATAAAGGTTTCTGTTAGAGTATTTCATATATAAGTTCTCAACAGTTTTGGATATAACATTGACAATATATGAATTTCTCAATAAATCTATATTTTTCTTTAAGTACCATTGAAGATAGGAATATATTGAGAGATCTATATCTTGACAATAAAATATTCAAAACTGATGAAACATTGCACTTGAGATATTCTGATCCAGACCTTCATATGTAAAAAGTGGTCAGATCGAAATTCCTGAATGTAATTTTTTTCAAAAACTGGACTCTACAAGAAGGAATCTACTAAAAAGTCGCTATTCTGACCAAGTCTAAGCATGAGCAGAAAATTTTTTTGAGGTTACACAACTCTAGTAATCTCTTACATATTGGCAAAGTATGGAGGCAAACGGAATGGGTCACTTGAAAATGTTCTCTCGTGAGCTTTATTTGTTCATATTATTCTTTCGCACAAACGTGTAATACGTTACTAAAAAAAAAGAAAAAATATGCTTTTGACGTTGCCAGTATACATGAAATGAAAAATGATAAAGTGAACTGTAATGATAAAGTCGAAGAGCAGTATCTTCACCGCCACCTTTGGCAATGATGTTTATCGAGTACCTTCATTACTCCAGAATGTCTATCACACGTACAATACAAATTTATTATAGGAAAGTAGAAGAGTTAAATATACGACAGAAAAATAGAGAAAGAGTAAGAAGGACATTCGAAATGAAGATATTTAGCGAAAGAATGATATCACTTATTGGTACATGAATCTTTTCTTTTTGTAGCTTTTTTTGTGATCCCTCTTTCGTCTTATATGTATTTTTAAAAAAAGATAAGAACAAATATTATATAGCTAGTAATTTAATTATATCTAGTGAGCATTTAAAGAATAAGCGATAATTTAAAATTTTATTTATTATAAAATATATTGGCGATATGTTTTTCTAATGACATCTGTTCCTATTTTCGAAAACATGTTTATAACTATTGACGAATTGGTTTGATGACATTTACCTTGTTTCTCATCGATTGACTCATCATTGAGGTAAATATGTATAAAACGAACAAATGGGATAGATCACCTGAGCACATCTTGATGCGTGAGATATAATATAAAATATATTAAATCATCATGGGCTGTTGCTTGTCTATTAAGGGACTAGATCATGATCGAATTCACTCAGAAATAGTTCTTCAAACAAAAGGTGAAAGTTCTCGATATCATGGAACAACAGAACGAGGCCGTCTTCAAGTACGTTTATTTTTTATTTATTATTTTAATAATTTATTATTATTTTTTTAAAAGACATTGGGTAATGCGGAATTGGTTTTAACGGAAGATGGTATTTTTTCTCAAGTTATTGGTACTTCTTGCTGTAATGATCGAGGCTTTTTACATATACCTCTTTTTGCTATTACAAATATTCATGATCAAAATTGTAAGTTTAAAACAAAGAAATTTAGATTTTATTTCATTCATTTTTATGTTGATAGGGTTTAATGGTCTTTATCGAATTGATCGTCCACATCTAATAATAACTTACATAGTTCCTGGAAAAGGTGAATATCAAGCTGGTTGGCAAATGAATCGGACAGTTTATGAATATTGGCGAGCATCTGTTGAAAAGGTGCTTGAACAAAAGCGTATAATTCAATTCAAGTAATTAGACTTCGTATCAACACAATTTATTAACAGAATCTTATTTTTCAATCATTTCTTTTGACGAAAAAATTTATTTGATAAATTAACTAACACATTATTTTTATTATCGAGATAGCCTTTAACAATAAAATAGATATAAATAAAAATAATGTTGAACAATTGATATATTTCTTTTCATAATTTATCTTTCGTCTTACAGATTTACAGTACCATGTTACTTGATCTTGGGTTTAACTGTTTAAGCGATCTCATGTTATCTTATGACTCTGCATGCATGATCCTTGGCAACGCCTACAATAGGTACGAATCGGCACACATACGCTTAATGAGGATCTCGAACGTACCGTGCACAATTATGCAGTGATCTATAAGCACATTGAGTGTGACGAGGTGACATGGAATGATCAATTGCTACTCTATTTGAAATCTAAAACTATCTTAAAATCGAGTCAAAACTCAAAAAGTCTTGAGATTACTTTGTGGATGTTCGAGATCATGCATTGCATTTATCAGTTGACATGAAATAATTTTTAAGATGTACAGAAGTTAAATGCATATCTAGCTAATTTATTAAATTTTCGATAACTAAATTTTTTTTACCTAAATGTTACTCTTTGATATATCAATTGGCTTGCACTGAAGACTTTATAAGAGCGAAAAATGTTGTAGTTAAGTTTAATACTGAGAATACGTTAATTAATTCTCCAATATTCATCTATTCGTTTAGTAATTATCAAATGAAAGAGCTTAATTAATAAAATTTTAGTGGACATTCCTGTGATAATATTAAGTCCAAAAACGGCGATCATATAAGATATACTGTATTATTTATTATTCAATATGGTATAAAATGGTGCCATGTACGATAATCTTTTACGGTACAATTTAAGCGTATTGTATCCAGCCATTGCTTACGGATTTTATTTATGCAATATTATTGAAATGTTTCGAATCCATCATTAGTTGGAATATCATGATATACAATGAATGAGTTTTGTCGAGTCCTAGTTGGTATTCATATTTTTTTTTAATGTCAACTTCCTGATGGTTTGTTTTTAGCTATTCTACACATTAGAAGATACTCTTTGTTGACCGCTATCAGATGCAATGAACTTCGACGTTTTAAAATACCTTTTGATACCGTTTTATGATATTAATAAGTAACTAATGTAAAGGGCGAAAATTTTCAATGTAACTCCGATTTCCTACATGTGCTTTTCTAAGTATTGATGTGCCTCTCTTGTCAGGCTATTGATAGCAAATATTTGTCTTTACTCATCCTGCAATAATCATACGAAACTTCATTTTCTTAATGTTTTTAAAGTCTGGTATCTAATATCTGATAGTCGTTTCCATGAACAGGTGAGTTTATCTGAAATGTCATATCTATAGGAGATCACCCAGTGCGTAAAGATCTTGATGTACAATACACAATGAAATACTTATAGCCCTGTGTAATGTACATACGGTTATATAGAAGTACATAAGTTTAATTATGTAAGAATCAACACAAGTACTGTAAATGATTTTAGGTGTTGCAAGTGAAAATGGCCATACTTGATGGCCAAACGATATATATATATATGTTGTAGGCAAAATTGGAATGCGACTAGAGATGAATTCATACCATCACGTGCTTTATCAAAAGCAAAATGGAATGAAAAAAAAGAGAAAACTGTAATAGTATCGGTCTTGCCGCTAAGAAGTATAGATATCAATGTAGGCGTTATAAACTGATAAAAAAATGTCTGAATTGGATTCAACGATAGTCTAAAGAGATAATGGCGAATTGGTTTATTATACAGAATTAGAAAAACATCAAATTCCTTAAGTAAAAATTTTCAAGAAGCAAATGTTACTAAACAAAGTGTTTATGATGATATTGTTAAATGTCTACTATTATCCAAGGAGAAGCCATTTGATTTATTTTCTTCAAAATTTATTTTTTGGACAAAAAAACATTTCACTGCAATTAAAGTTTCTGGTGTTCATATCGCTTGTTGTGTAAAATCCAAAATAACTAAAACAAATTGTTATTGATGATTTATAGGATATTACATTTATTCAAGCATGTGAACTTTACGTACGAGCATCAATTACTAGTAGAACTTGCGATCATAAAGGCAAGTAAGCTACAAAACAACGTTCGTATAAAAAAATGGGAGCGTTTTGTTCGACAAAATGTCATTCAAAACAAGGTGGTTGTACAAATGTGGGTAAATAGATTAATATGTTTTGTCTTGTAAATTGTTTAGTTAAATGAAGAAATATTGTTGAATAAAAAAAATATTCTATTCAGTTTTAATTGTTTTGATTGTGTGAATTTATCTTTAATTGCATTCTAATTTTGCCTAGGCAAATTTAAATATTACTTGAAGCTCAATTTTGCCTACAACATATATACAGCAAAAATACACCTACATATGGCGTTTTTTTTAGCCATAAACATGCTACATATGACACATTATACATATGGTTGTCAAACACACCGGCCTGGTTAGTATTAAACTACAGTGTGTAAAGATTACATATCTATTCATTTACGGCTACATATGATAATGGTAGTAAACCATTGGGATCTGTGTATGTGCAAAGATTGATTTTATAACTTCCCATATACGTTGAAGGCCATCTAGTTCAATATTTTTTTCACGAGTTTTAATATTTAAATTTCTTAATATTTTATATATGATAACAACATCAATGACTTTCACACCTAACATTTCATTTGTTACCAACTATTCCTATTCTTGATTCTAGATGGTGTTTTGACAAAAAAAAATATCGATTCGTAAGTAAATGAGCGACATCTATTCGACATTTCATTCCTGTTGGTTATAGTATAGTTCGATAATATATTATCTTATAGCTGTAGTATCAAGGATGGAAAGTTCTTTGGTTCAAAAAAATTTAACATATTTGTGATCAATCTAAACCAATGTCTCTCTTCATTATCTCTACTAGTCGAAGTATTTCTTCTTCTCTATATCGTCAACGCTTTCTATCCTTTACTCCTCGTCTGCTTTCCTCTAATCAATACAACAATGACATCATTCAAGCTAAAAAGCAACAACTAAAAATTGATCCTTCATCATCTAAACAAACACCTCGTCTTCGCCGTTATCATTATTACTTATTATCTATTGCCACTGGTGCATTAATCGGTACAATCTATGCTTTACGTCAAGTAAGAAAACATGAAGGAAGTCTACCTGAATATGTTGCAAATGCTGAATTACTCGAACGTAAAGCTATGGAAGCTCGTCCTTTACCACCACCGATAACCAAACATATTACATTTGATGTTCCACCACGAATAAATTTTCCATTTAATGTAACACTTTATCAATTTGTAACTTGGTTTGTATGATTTGAAAAAAAAAATATTATTCTTTTTGTAATTAATTTTATTATTTCTTTTTAGTCCATTTTGTTGTAAAGTACGTGCTTATCTAAATTATAATCGTATACCATATGATATAGTCGAAGTCAATAGTGTAACACAAAAAGAAACGAAATGGTCTTTATATAATAGTGTACCAATAGTTGTTATTGAAAATGAACAGATACAATTAAATGATTCCAATATGATTATATCAGCTATTGAATCTTATTTACGTCAACCAACAAAAACATTTAAAAATATAATGAAATTATATAAATCAGTTGTTGAAAAAGACCAAAAAGGAAATTTAAGTTTTAATTATCCGAATAGATATTTTATTATTGAACCATTAATAAATGATCGACTAGACACGATTAAAGAAGAACAAGAACGAATAGTTCATAATCAATCAAAGTCATTTTTTGCTAGACTTTTTTCAAGATTAACATTTCAATCTGAAATCGATTCAAAAAAAATTCAAAACGAAACTATCAATAAACCAAAATCTAATGAAGAAAATGAATTTGAACGTCAATGGCGTGAATGGGTTGATAATAAATTTATGCATGTAATATCACCAAACATTTATAGTACATTAAGACAATCACTTAATACAATGCATTGGTTTTCAAAAGCTGGTGACTGGGAAGAAATATTTCCATGGTATCAACGTTGGATTTTTGTTTATCTTGGAGCTGTTACTATGCGTGGTTTAGCAATATATCTTAAGAAAAAATATAATTTAAATGACAATGTTAGAATTTCTTTATATGAATGTGGAAATGAATGGGTTAATGCTATTGGTGATAAAGATTTTAATGGTAAGAATAGAATTTTTCAATAGTATGATTAGAAAATGATTTAAACCGTTAGATACTGTTTAAAAACTTATTTTAGCGATGAATATCTTCATTCTCAGAGCCTCACGAAGTCCTCTAAAATCTTCTAGAGTCATCTAAAGTCTTGTAAAGTTTCTTCAAAATTGTGAAGTCTTTGTGCTCAAGGAGTCTATAACTATTAGTCGAAAATCATCACTTGTGTGCAAATTAAAGTTTGAGGAAAATGAAAAAGTACTAAGCTTCTGTCAAACATGCGAATATGTATTGCTATCTAGTGCTTGAGATCCCGTGAAACCTGCTGTTTCTCCCTCGAACTAGCCTTAATAATCTACTTTTATGAAAGTGCGAAGGTTTTATTAGAGATTTGGTTACTAATGAAAGTTTTGCATACTTCTTTATTCAATGTCTGTAAAGTATACTTAAAGCAGGACTATTGTGGCACAAAGTTTAAATGAATCACATATGAAATATAATATTATTATAATTGGAATACAGAAATTATAAATAACAGGAGATAATCTAAAAGAAAAATTAATTGGATAAAGTTTTTTTTGTTCTTCGTACGAAAGGCTGTATTTAATGTTCTTTTGTCTCGGGAAATAATTAAAAACGTTCATTTTTTAAGGTTACAGATAAATTATTTTCAAAATAATTTGACTCGAAAGATTAAGTTAAATATCTTTTAGTGAAATGAACATTAACTATTTATATTAATCAGCTCAGTTCTATCAAAAATATAGCTATATTTTATCAATAACTCAATGTGATTTTGAAGAGGAATTCAATTTAAACAATCGTATGATAGTACTATATCTATGCGCCTTATAGCTATACAAAAACCTTCTGTGAATAAAATAGGACATTTTTTCAAGACTTCTACTTACATACAGTTCATTGTATCTAATAAAGAGAAAAAAGTACTCTAATGAAAGATTTTACTTCAAAATAGGGCACATAAGGCAATTTTCAGTTAATTTTTTACTACCTGGCATTAAACCAATAAAGTTGGTTCTGAATCAATCATGGGAATAGCTTACACAGTTTCTGTTGATGACATTAATATAGTTGAATTCGAGCGAAGTCATTCCATTGTGGAGGCGCAAAACGTATCATAAATGAACTGTTCATCTTGGATGACATAAAAATTGTATTTATTCTTAATTTGATTTCTTTTCACCGCTATGCTGTTGTTTTATGTGTGTAGAGCTGGATGATTATTTATCATGAATTATTTATTGAAAAATAAGTCAGTTCGGAGAATAATATATGGTTAGACACTTCCAAAGATAATTATTTTCAGACTGAAATCAGTTCTTTCGTTTCCTGAATCATGTCGGTTTCATTAGTCTTTATTTTCTTTCTATAATATGAAATCATTAGTTCTGATTCCGATTCGGAATCATTCATTTCTGTTATTAAGGTTTCACCCACATAGAAGACCATAATAAGAGCTACATGTTTCAATGATTTATCAATAACAAAATTATTTCGAAACGGCCATGGAATAATTTTTAACTGGCTATTAGTTCTAATAAAGCTTTTAACATGAAGATTGTGCTATTCATGGGTACATGCCAAAAATAAAATAATTCTAGAAATAAAGAATGTTTTTCATGTTACTCATTACAAACGGATAAAAAATAACCGAAATTGTCATGAAAAATACTGCTTTCACATTTGTAATCAACAAATTTTTAAAAAGTACTTCCCAAATACTTTATGTCCCTAGTAGCATATATCAGCTTCAGAAACATCAAAATAATCAGTATCCAACTAATAAATGTGAGCAAAAAATGATAAAAAGAAGTTTAAGTTTTTTTAGAAATTTATAGCTCTTTGGATACTCTATACAATGCTAGAGCATCGTCGCGATCTCATAATTTATTACTCCAAATAGATATTTTCTACGAATGAGTCAAAAGTTACCCAAAAGGGGCTAAAGGTTTAAAAAAAATCAGCCTTTGATTGAATGTATAGCATCAAAATATATCTCTCAGATAGACGATTCTTTGGGCCGTTGAGACATGTGATTAATGTTCCTAGCATTCTTTATTACGTCTCCCGAGTTTATAACTAAAAAGCAATGGTTTCATCAGATTCGACGTAGGAATACAAATGAAATGAAAGCAATTGAGATTAAGCTTAATTGTTTTTTTTTTCTTTCGCTAACATCTAATGCAACAATTATCATACGTTTTTCTCAGACGAAGGTTGTCCTGTCTTTGTTTTGTTTTTGTTAGATTTGTACATATTCCTTCATGTATAGCGATAGAATATGTATGTAAGATTATATTAGTTTCTTGTCATAGTTCTCATCTTGTGGTAGAAATGGTATTTTATGTCACCTTTGGTTGCCGGCAGCTTTCATCACGCTGGTATTTTTAGATGATTTTTTTCCGGGAGTGTGTCGACTTTGAGTCAATATTTATCGAATAAAACATAAAATATACAGAGAAATATTTTTTATTCATTGCTCATTTGGTTTTTTTCGTAAATAGCATAAAAGTAATTGATTAGTAATTTATGGTCTATTTTTCGATATTTCCTTGACTATTCTATTTGATAACAATACATATAAGATTAATTCTTTACTAATGAATATGAAAAACAATGTGATAATTAAACAAAAACCTAATAGATTTTGATCAATCTATTTATTTATTTTTCTTTTCACTTAGGTGGATCCGAACCAAATCTAGCTGATTTATATGTTTATGGTATTCTAACAGCTATTCAAGGAAGTGAAGCATTTCAAGACCTTATGACTAATACAAAAATTCAACCATGGTTTGAACGTATGAAAAATTTAGTTGAACCTCATCGTATTGACACTTCAGTTCGTTCGATTTCTTAGACGTTTTTTTTTTCTTTTAAAAATAAACAGAAAATAAATAAATCTAATCGTACTTTTCTTTGATTTAAAAGACGACTTATTTTAGATAATGACGATCATTGAATGTACTGGTTGTACCTTAATTGCATATGGAATACCTTTTTCAATGTTTGTATTTACAATTGCACATCATCCATTTCGTATTATTATTGCAATGACAAGTGCATTTTTTTGGTTATTATCATTATTATTATCTTCATTACTTTGGTTTATGGTTGTTCCATTACGTAATCAACTTGCATTTGCAGTACCATTTGCTGTTTTATTTCAAGAAATATTTCGATATTTATTTTATCGTGTTATTAAGTAAAGATTTTACTTCGACTTCTTTTTTTTTTTACTGTTTGTTAATTTTATTTGTCCTAGAAAAGCTGAATTTGCTTTACAAAAAGTTCAATTGCAAGAATTAACAGAAAAAGGAATGGTTTTTGATAGATTTGCTGTTGCATATGGTAATTAAAAAAAAAACGAACAACAGATGATTATTATGAGCCATTTCACTTAAGCCGCGACTGGCCTTGTTCAATCGACAGTCGCTGATTTGGCTAATCTTTATATATATTATAGTGGCAAATGTTTGATGAATTTCTATGCAAGCTGTTCTAAAAATTAGTTTTGTTCTCGCGATACAGATTTTTTATAATGTTAGCATCGCCAAAATAAAACACATTTTTTGTGACACCTATATCTCATCATAAATGTATTCGTTTGACTTGAAGTTTCCAGTGTGAATACAAGTTAAGTTTGAATACCTACCACAAAAATATAAGAGCGCAAATGGATGAATTAATCATGAGTTGACAACTACTACGAAGTACACGGCAAAATTGCTATTTTTCAGTATTTTGTACATATATTTCATGAATGAGCCATGTTAAAAATTTTAAAGTCTAGAAAGAAAAGGTTTCAATGAGCACTCAATATCGTAAAAATTTCAGCTTCCTCGGTAACACTTGTTGCTTATGAGACCTTCACCAAAATCGTGAATGTGCTCAAAGTCACAATTTTTGGAGGGATCAATTTAGAGGAAAACTTGATGTATAGAAGTCGAAGTTTTATGGTTTTAAACTACACACTAAATACCTCAAGGTCTTACAAGAGTCGGTCTTGGACATTGTAGAATAGCTTGCAGAGCCTTATCAAAAGCGAAGATCCAAAATGACTTCTTTTCGTGCTTAATATACTCAAATGATTCAGAAATTAATAGAAAAGTTTCATTACATCAACATATAATCGTCTATTATTTAGCATAATAACTTCTTTGAAAATAACAAACTTTTCAAATTTCTTGGAACCCTTGGATTTGAGAGTCAAAAAAACGTTTTGTCAGTTTCAAAGAAGTTATATATGTCAATTAATGGAGGATCGTATGCCGATTTATAATGGATGAAAGATTGATCTATGTATAGAAGCTTTTCTATTAATTTCTGAATAATTTAAGTATATTAAAGATGAAAAAGGAGCCACTTTGGAACTCATCTGATGATAAGACTCTGCAGACTATTCTACGACGTCTCAGGCCAACTTCTACAGGACTTTATAGTACTTAGTGTGTAGTTTAAAACAATACAAGTCCGCCTTTTATAGACTAGGCTTTCCTTTATATCAGTCCCTCTAAAAATCGTGCTTTTGAGCACAATCATGAACTTGGTGAAGATGTCTTGAGCAACAAGAGTTATCTACGAAGCTGAAATTTTTACCAGAATAAATACTCATTGACATTTCTCTCTCTAGCTGCAATTTCAACCTTTTAACATGATTAATTCGCAAAATATATATACGCACAAAATACCGGAAAATGATAATTTCTTTCTATATTTAGTAGCATTGGCCGATTCGTCAACATTTCATCCATTTGAGCTCATTTGTTATGGTAGATATTCAAATCTCAGTTGTATTCACACTGAAAATTTAAAGTAAATGAATGCATCTATGATAAGATAATGTCACAAAAATGTGCTTTTTTTGACGATAGTGACTTTAGAAAAACCTATATATCTTGAGAGCATAACAATATTTTTTCGAACGGTTTGCTTAGAAATTTATCAAACACTGGTCATTATACCATATATAAAAATCAACCAAATTGGTGACTATCGATTGATCAGCTTCTATGGGAGTCAGTTGTGACTAACGTGGAATGGCTCTTATTTGAAATGAAAGTTGTTTTTGACATGATTTCAAGTGGTCAGTAAAAAACTATACAAATGATCAGTGTAAACACTGAATGGTCAGTACGGGAATGATCACTGTTTAATTAAAAAATAGTCATTTTTTTATATACAAATAGCAGGAAAAATTACAGATTTGGTCAGTGAAAAATATCAATTTTATCAGTGTAACATTTTTTTTATCTGCCTAAAGTATAATTTAGTATAAGAAAAATAATTTGAATAAACGAAACAAAAATACAAAAGAAATAAGACGAAGAAGAAGATGAAAATCAAATTATTATACTAGCAAATTAATTTTAGTCTTTGCTGATCTGCCTCTTTTGTTATGACCTAGCAGAACTGTCTTCGTTATTGACAGTGGTTTACAATATTCCAAACGAATAGCCATACGAATGACCTGTTTGCATATATACATATAGGTAGTTTTTACATTTCTCGTTTCAAGTGCTCGAATGATTTGTTTTAGTTTTACTATACAATCGTGATATGAGTCTTGTATGCACTTGTTTACATTTTCATCAGTACTACGAAATTTATTATAATCACCATTGTATGAAGTTTCAGTTTTATAAGCAGTAACTTTATCACTATGTGCATGATATAGACGATAAATATTTGCTCCGCATTGAGATCCATGACGCTTACCTTGGTTGTACCTGTAATAAACTATTCTTCTATTTTCTGTATTTTTCCTATAATGTTTTGACCATCTCATTCGCAATAGATGCTTCTGCTTCATTAGCATTATTAAATATAGTCTCTTTAATCCTAATATGTTGATTTCTTTTGTTTTTGAAAGATCTTTCATTTCCATTTATATCATAATTTTTTTCTCCAATCTCTTCATTCGATACTCAATTTTCGTTTTGAGTAACTTCCCGGTGAAAAGCGAAAGCTAAAGACACGTGTGTAATTGCATGAATATACAAGCTATTTCATATATTTTTCAACTGTTGTACATAAATATAATACAGTTTTATAAGTTTTTAAGCAAAACATGCGAGACTATACCGAATTCTTATCCTTGTAAATAGTTGCATGCAATATTCTTTCATTTCGATGCAAGATATATGACTCACAATGTGTTATTCGCATGTACCTGCAAGATGGCTAGAATTTTAATCAAATCTGCATGTCAATGTGAAAAAGGTTGTATTTAAGAACATTATTACTAAAGCAACTTCGTGTTGACATACCAATTGCTGCCATTGTATAGGATACACGCTGCTCTATGAAAGTAGTTGATCTTTTTCTTCGATGTGTATTTATCTATGTCTCATTAAGATGAAAGCACTCACATATATTCACACTATATTGACTCAAAAATCTTGTTCGATTTTTCGAATTCTCCTACAGTTGTTAGTATTCATGTTTACACGTGCCCACTGGTTATTATTAAATGATCATTACATCCTTCAGTTTGATAGTCCTTCTAACGTAAATAAATGGTTAAGTGATGAAGAAGTTCATCGTACTTAATACAAAGCACGCATGTTCGAATCTGATCTCTGGAAAAAAAATCTTGTGTGTTTATGTATATTTACTACATGTGATTCGTTTGTTTTTTTTACCATTCTAAAATTGCAATACATGTACAGGCGTAAGTTCTCAATAAAAGCATTCATACATCCTCGCATACAGCTGAAATATTAAGAGCGTACGTGCGCAAAATTTCATGCATGTAAACGCGAATATAATTTACTCTATAAAACATTCACACGCATTCCATATCATTACGATTCATGTATGTACACGCATTTTATAAGTTTTTGCGTTGGACTGAGTTGTACTACGTCCTTCATATTTACTTGTTAACACTGATAAAGCTGGAGAAAAGAACAGATGTAAAGTACACTCATATGTACGTCGTAAATTTCATCTGTATTACATAGTACAAGAAAAGAAATAAAAGTGAATCATACCATAATGTATTTCAATTTCTATACTTACTCTTTGGTTTATTTTACTGTTAGCAGATTTTATTTACTGGCCTTTAAATTTATGAACAAGTCTAATTCATCACTAATTGATCACTTAAGTATTTTACTGATCATTCATTCATTTTACTGATAAATCACACCCTTACGGATGTTATTATTATTTAATTTACTAATCTAATATTTTGTTTCGTTTGTTTTTTTCCTAATTGAAGCTGCTGGTTATGGCTTTGGTTTCATAAGTGGAACATTTGCTATTGTTAATGTATTGAGTGATATGACTGGTCCAGGTACTATTGGAATATTTGGACATTCACAAGATTTTTTTATTGCTACAGGTTAAGTAATATTTGAGACTCTAGTGAATTGAATATTGTTTTTATTTTTTTTTGTTTAGCTTTTCTGACATTAGCTATTATTCTCTTAAATACATTTTGGGGTGTCGTTTTGTTTACATCATTAGATAAAGGTGGTATTCATCAATATCTGGGTCCAGCAGTTGTTGTTTTAACACATATGCTTTTTTCTTGTCTTGTATGTATATGAATTTTTAAATGATTGATTTTGAATGAAGATAATATTTATTTAAGACTTTATTTAATCGAACAACAAAACCAACTTATTCGATTTCAATTATAACTGGTTATGTCATTTTATGTGGAATGATTTCATATGCATTATTTTTACGTGGATTTAATATACGTCAAAGATTAAGTCGACAATGAAGATTTATCAGACATTCGTTATTTGTTGTATAGTTCCGTTTTTTTTTTGAGTGATGTTTGTTGTTGTACAGATAGAACAGCGTAATATGCAGATAAACGAAGAGAAATGAATGTAATAAAAAAAAAGTGACCATAGAATCACAATATTTTTTTAAATAAAAGCGATCTGCTTTTCGTTTATTAAGAAGATGGAATATAATCTCAAAATATTTTGTTGTTTCTTGTTTTAGTTCATACTACATATAATATGTCATCGTCAACAGCACCAAAAAAAATTTCAATTGTTGGTTCTGGTAATTGGGGAAGTACCATGTAAGTTTTATTTGTATTTTTAATTAAAAATATTTTGCTTATCTGTTCAAATAAAGGGCTATTCATATTGCTGAAAATGTTCGTGAATTAAAAGACCAATATGATCAAAAAATTTTAATGTGGTGTAAAGAAGAAACATTAGATGATGGAAGTAAATTAACTCAAGTTATTAATAAACAACATGAAAATATTAAATATTTACCACATGAAAAAATTCCTGATAATGTTATTGCTCTACCTGATCTTAGTGAATCAGTTAAAGATGCTGATATACTTATATTTGTTATACCTCATCAATTCGTTAAAAAAACTTGTGAAGAATTAAAAAATAAAATAAAACCAACGGCATTTGCATTGACATTAATTAAGGTTAGAAAAAGTAAATGATAAATCAATTGAAAATTTTTTTCTTTAGGGATTTTATATTGATGAACAAACAAATGAGCTTTTATTGGTTTCACAAATAATTAAAAACACATTAAATATTCCTTGTCTTTGTTTGATGGGAGGTTTGTTAAATATTATTTAAATTTGTTTTTGTTATTATTTTATTATTTTATTTTTAATTATCTAGCTAATATTGCTCATGAAGTAGCTGAAAAAGTGTTTTGTGAAGCAACAGTTGGTTCACGTGATGAACAACATAGTGAAATAGTTCGACAATTAATTGATACGCCTGTTTTTCGTTTACGTTTTTATCCTGATGTTGAAATTATTGAAATACTTGGTGGTGTAAAAAATGTTATTGCTATGTGTGCTGGCTTTGCCGATGGTTTAAAAGCTGGTTTTAATACTCGAGCTGCTGTACGTTGATTAATTTTGTTTTTTGTTGATTCATTCATTTGTAGAGAAAAAAATACATTTCGTTTTGTTTCAAGGTTCTTCGATTAGGTTTTCGAGAGATGGTTAATTTTTGTCGTCTACATGAAAAAGAATCAACGGCAGAAATTTATTTAGAATCATGTGGTTTTGCAGATTTAATTGCATCATCATTAGGTGGAAGAAATTATAATGGAGCAAAAAAAATGGCTGAAACAAATAAATCATTAAAAGACATTGAAAAAGAAGATCTTAATGGACAATCATTACAAGGTCCTGGAACAGCTAAAGAAGTTTATCGTTTTCTTGAAGCAAAAAATTTATTAGATCAATTTCCTATGTTTCGTGATGCTTATCTTATTTGTGAACAAAAAATTGAACCAAAAAAATTATTAGAAAATTTAACTAATCATCCTGAATTTCATCGAAAATAACTGTCATTAAATTTAACATTTCCTTATTTAATCATGCTGAATATAACTTTATTTGATGGTGGTGATCTGGAATCTTTTTTTTTCGTCTCAACATTCTCAGTAAAAACTAATCAACTTTCTGTAGTATGCTAACATTTAAGTAGAACCGAATAAATGAAGTCGAAGAATGAACAAAAATATAACATAAAATAAGAAAGCTTGTTGGCACAACCTCCTTAGAACAAAAATATGGAACTCATATGCATTCTTTTAGCCTCACTATACTAATACAAATTATGTACCGTGAAAACACTCTAGCAAACTTTAGTTGTTTTTCATGGATAATCGATCGACAGAGAAATGATTGGCTTTATTTATGCAGTTCGAACAGAAATTTTTTCCTTTTTTTTATTTACTGGCGCTCTATATTTTGTTTGCTTTGTTTGCTATTCGTTCGTTATTTTTCTTTTTCTTATAATATATTTCTTGGTTTAATATTATTATTATTCTAAGTATTGAATTAACTCACAAGTAAGCTTGTTGTACATATCCATTATATCTACAGCAGCAGGTATCAATGCACAATCATATACATCGAAAAGCTCACAAACACTGATACTGATTATTTTCTACAATTATAACTTGAGCAGTTCACATTTTTTATGTTGATATTATGATGACTGTAACAAATCAATGCTTCATAACTAATATGGGAATGACATTCTTCCGTATTCCTTGAAGTACGAGGATACAGTGGGGGGTACATTTTTATAACTCATTGCTTCCTTCATTATTACCCATCATCCATGACATATATCAAATAAATATTTATCTACGAAAAAATCAAAAACTACACTATTTAAGCTATTGGAAAATTTGTTCCAGCCATTCAAGTTTCCAAGAAGGATTTAGAATGCTCTAGAACAGTCTAAGTCTTGTTATTACTGTCGTCCAGCGCCTTTTTTCGTTGCTAAGGAACTCTGAAGAAGAAATCTGATGTCTGTTGTGCTCAGTTCCTATGTGCAAGGCCACAAAATCTTGGCGTAAAATTTACACTCACTATTTGTTTTTCTTCAAAAAGACATAATGTAATTTCTACAAAACATCGGACTAGACTATATATTAAAATCTTACTTCTTTTTCAATCAAAGACTAAACAATATTATTAACTTTAATAGTTGAATGTATTCGATCAAGATCAACCAACATATGGACTTTCAATTTCTGGGTTACTTTTCTTGATCATCTTCTCTTCTGTCGATGAGACCAGTGATTCCAAACATAAGTAGAAATAAATGATGAGATAAAGTATTCGAACTATGTTGATGTGAAACATATGAAAATCTTTACTCTGGGTTCTTTTTTGTGATGCTGGAATGATTTCTATTCTGATATGACTTTATAAATCGAACTGGTAGATAATGAATGGCGTTTTGAGAAAACTTTCTATAGCCTTTGAATAACATTTTTTTTTAATTTGATTTGCTAATTCCTTAAGTATTAATCTATCTTAAACAATATTTTATTCCTTCTTGTAATTCATACTTCTATTCTTTTTGTCTATTGATTTGTGAATTCGAAGTAGTAATAAATCATACGAGGAAAGCAAATGGTTGATATTTAGCAAAAAAATATCAATATAAGAAAATGTCAAATTATGATGAGACGTCAATGGTAAATGTATCATTTAGATTACTCATAAAAAAACTATTTGTTATTTTCAAGGTCTAGAAGACTTTTATTTTAAACAAGATGAAAGATTCTCTGAAAAAAAAAGAATTATGAAGTAACCAAGTCGAATAATCTATTGCATCAAGATTTTCGCTTCACAACTCGCAAGTAAGACAGAAAAACAAAAATTAATCATTCAAATTTTCATATTATATATAAAAAGACTCACTTAATTAAAATTGGAGTAAAATTTCAATTCTTTAAATCAGAATTATAAAATTTATTTTTAAAATAATGAACATATTAACATAATAAAATGACGAAAAACTTTATTTAGAGATGAGTAGTAATAACATTTCAAATAATTTTTCTTCAGGTTAATGACTCTTTCGATGATATATTACATCATATAAATGAGCACATGGATATTGTAAAATTTATAACGTAATAAAAATCAAGATATAGTAGAAAAATGAATTCAAAATGGAATCTGATAAAATCATTAAACTCATGGCAGAAAAAGAAATCATACAACGATTGAGTTTTACTGTAAAATAGATTTCTTTTCACCTATAAACATTATCAACATCTTGAAAAAAATAATATGCTATAAAGAAGTCAAACATATCAAAAGACTACTTTCATCATTAAAATTTTGCGATGATTTAATACATATATACATTTGATTAAGCTTAAATGAATACGTTAAAGACAGAAACTTTAGTTACATTTTAAAAAAGTGGATATTTTTCTGTTTATTTTTCATCGATTATAATATTTTATGGATTAAACTAACAAGCTTGAAGCAATGTTTCCTTTGTATATCTAGGAGTCAGCCATGTTCGTATAAGTACTGAAATACAAGCAGTGAGTATCAACATATAATCCATTGTAATACCGAATATACTGGTATTCGTGTTTACTTAAACGCTGATATCATCGCTCACTGCAATATTGAGCTATTAACTATATCAAAATTAGTGTTTCGCACGGGAACGACTTTTCACAACCGAACTCGAACTGGAACTAATTTCACAGTCACAATATGGTTATCAAACTTTTATTTTGTATGCAAAAATATAATAGTCAGTTTCGTCCATGAAAAGCAACGAAAAAAGCGGTCATTTCAAATTCCATAATACAACAAGTGATTCAGGATTCATTTGGGCTCTTCCTGCTTCTAAAGTCGGATTACTTTCGTTAAGTATACGTACTTGTTGTTGATGACGCTGAAATCAAACGGAGTGCTGGTGCCAAGCGTCATAATTGTAAACACAAATTTTCTTTTTTTTTCATCATGATAATATATATTCACCTTTGGAATGATTCATTTTCCTCTCCATGTATTCAGTTACTGTGTCATACAGTTTGTCATCACCTGTAAATGAGGCTTTGTTATAAACGAAATTCTTTTAGTAAAACATTATTACTTTCCGCTTCTGTGATCTGTTCTCATGTACAATCAATTGTTCAATCATGATTGAATCGACTGTTACTCCTATGCTGAGGGCTGGACAATATCCCTCAAAAACGGGAAATTTTTCCGTTTCTAGTAGAAACACTTTCTTAGGAATCAGCATCCATTACATCAGATCATTTACAATAGAGTAAATGAAACACTCACAGCAAAGAAATCATTTATCCATTTCCATAAGCAGAAGTCAAAAAAGGTTTACGAAGATCTCAATCATATTACTTTTTCATTCTATGGAGAAATGGTAGTAGAAATGGATTTTTTTCAGTAGAAATGTAAATTATTCAAAGGGAAATTATTCATCCATTTCTATCTTGATAAGCAGAAGTCTAAATTGAAATATAGCATCTGAAATAGTGATTCGTAGATATATATTTCTATTCTACTCTTCTATTCCTTCTAACTCAAGTAAAGTAAAGTGCCGGAAATGCAGACTTCGAGGAAATTCTATTTTTCATTCTATTATACATGATTTGATAGAGCCTCAAAAGCGGGTCATGAATATATGATTTTTTTTAAATTTCGATTCGATTACCGTTTAATGGAAAAAAGTTTTTAAACATATCAAATGACTAAAACATAGTATTTATAACGACAAATTTGCTTTTCCTACAGAAACTGTCAAATTTCAATTAGATTTATTTTACAAATTATTTGAAAATATTATTTAAGAAGAAGTAAAGCTACTAATGTTTAAAACAATCCTATCTGATATAATTAGGTCGATCAAGCTCAAAGCAAATATTTGTGAGCATTCTTCGAAATCTATCTACGTAGTTCTTTTGTAATAAGAGATAGAAGCAAGTGTCTTATCTCATTAGAATCATCACATCGTCACCTACAAAAGTATCTATTTCGTTTTTTTAAAATTCTGTTTTATTGTTGAGAAAATTGAATTTTTGTCTCGTCTAGTAGTGATATGAGGCGAAAGAAAGAGAAATATGTTCGTATTTATCATGTTTTATTATTATGGTCCAGCCAAAGAGCAAAATAGATAGGATACTTGAAATCAGCATCAAAAACTTCATCAAGTTGTATATGTTTCAGTAAAAGCTGTTTCCTATGAAAAATAGACCTGTTGTCCTCTCTCAGGTCTGTTCTTTCAAAATTTTGCCCTTCGTCCTCCAACTGTCGATTTTTCGTAGAAAAAAATATCCTTAAGATATATAGTGCTTGATGCAGTTTTTGATGCTGATTTCAAGTATCCTATCTATTTTGCTCTTTGGCTGGACCATAATAATAAAACATGATAAATACGAACATATTTCTCTTTCTTTCGCCTCATATCACTACTAGACGAGACAAAAATTCAATTTTCTCAACAATAAAACAGAATTTTAAAAAAACGAAATAGATACTTTTGTAGGTGACGATGTGATGATTCTAATGAGATAAGACACTTGCTTCTATCTCTTATTACAAAAGAACTACGTAGATAGATTTCGAAGAATGCTCACAAATATTTGCTTTGAGCTTGATCGACCTAATTATATCAGATAGGATTGTTTTAAACATTAGTAGCTTTACTTCTTCTTAAATAATATTTTTAAATAATTTGTAAAATAAATCTAATTGAAATTTGACAGTTTCTGTAGGAAAAGCAAATTTGTCGTTATAAATACTATGTTTTAGTCATTTGATATGTTTAAAAACTTTTTTCCATTAAACGGTAATCGAATCGAAATTTAAAAAAAATCATATATTCATGACCCGCTTTTGAAGCTCTATCAAATCCTATATAATAGAATGAAAAATAGAATTTCCTTGAAGTCTGCATTTCCAGTACTTCACATTAATTGTATTTTCTATGGAAGTCGAGCTTTTTATCATTCGAAGAATAGATCATTACTTATCGTTCTTTAACATGATCAATTAACGTTAAATATGCTTGTTCTCATTGAATTCTATAGAATATACGCTAACACCACCGAAAAGGACAACATTTATTCAAAAAAGGAAAAACTCATAAACGTGGATGCTTATAAAATGATAATGAATCGAATTGTGATACATTTTTTACTATGACAATGATAATATATACGATAGTTGCAATGATAATAGTTAATGGTAGGAAAATAAACGCAGAAACTACAATAGAACATTTTCGTCGTTGATGAGAACTCGGCCGTATTTCTGGATCAATATTAATTAAAACCTAAATAAATCATTATGTTATATTTTTTTATTTATCAAAAACAAATGCGTCCTCACATGTTTTCTGTTTGATGTTCCTAAATTATTTACATGAACAAGTAAATTATCATGTAGTAATGTTTCATCAATAACGTTTGTTTTAGACTTGTCAATCATATTCTCTCGTTTAACATATTGTTCATTTTGTGATAATAATTGAACTGATTTTGTGTCCTGCTAGATTGATAAGTTAAAAAAAAAAAGAAAAAAAAATATAATGTGAATTTGTAGATAGTTAACGGGTGTGTCATAATGAATCGCACTAAATGTAAATAGAATTTTCCTCCTATTTCAATTTATAGAAAATATTCATTCGTATACTAAAAGATAGAGAATTTCCAAATTTCTCAAAGCTACGAACTTCACTTTTACAAAGAAAATTTTGCCTTTGTACGACAATTCTAATATTTATATATTTTGTACATTCCTGTCGCGACGCGTTATTCCTCCTGCTTTGCAAAAGTATGCAGATTCATGAAATCAAAGAATTTTATATGTTAAAAGATAGAGAATTTTGTTCTCTACTTGATTGATCCACTTTCGTATTTCTAAGTTCTACTAGGAAGGTGAAAACTCTTGAGGAATATCCTTTCTGATGATTTTAGAAGGGTTTTTTAAATAATGACGATTTTTTTTTTAGTTAAAGTTCAACGGCAAACTTCTTATTTGTACGCTAAAAACATTACACAATTTCATTCTCTACAAGACTATGAGGCTGATGAATCACTCTATACGGCATGTTTTTTCCAAAATTCACGAAAAATCAATCACGTCTCAAAATAGATGTAAATTTTTATTATTTTTCTATTGATTGTGTCCTGAAAGTTTACATGAAACTGTTGTCTAAAGCTTTAAAAGATAAACAATTTTACCCAGAATACTTTCATTTAATTAAGTGCCGCAATAGGGATATACAATGCACCTCACTGCGTTGAAATGCTCTGTGTAAAAGTGAAGTGCATTGGTTTGTAGAACTTGAACTTCTATGTTTTTTGTGAAACATAATCTAAAGAAATCGTTGAAGTATAGGGGTAGATGATTGAAGTCACTCTCCCTCCCCAGCAGACTATGACAGAAATCTTAACAACACTCCCCTACCCTTGCATCACAGATTATATATTAAAAATGTCTCGTTATAATATATGACCTACTTCCTTATTGCGTTTTCGGAGGATTAAGTAAAAGTATGGTAAAGAAATGTAACTCAAAATAGATAGAATAAAACTTTCTCCCTATTATTAGCAAGAGCAGCTAGATTGTATTTGACATTTCAATCCCGCCGGAATTCCGCTAACATCTTTTGATATATAAGTGAATGTCCTCTATAAATAGTAAATGAGCGAAAAATTGCATTTTCAATTAGTCCAATTCATCATGGTCTATTCGTTACTTACATCAATGACGGATTGAGATAACTCATTAGTTAGATAATATGATGACGGAAAAGTATTAGATTCGACTGATGATGATTCACAGGATGCTTTGTAAAGAAATGAATATTTCTTCTAAAAAAAGTTGATGAACATTTTATACCAGATGATCTATTTTCTTTTACCAATCTATTTTGATTATTAACTTTTAAAGATTTCTTTTCAGTTTCATTATTTTGATTATCATCACTGTCTTCGTGAAATTTTTTTATGATATCAAGTATTTGATTTGAATCATCTCGTAAAAAAGATGATTTCTGTTCATTGCTACTTGACTTATTCTATAAATAAAAACAATAAAAATTATCTCAAATAATTTATGAAAGTAAAATTATTCTTACATCATCAGTAATATTCATGTTCGTATGATTCATTTATTAAACCTATATTTTGTAGGATCGTAAATGAAAAGATACATAAATCTACAATATAGCAGTTGACAACGACCGCAAAAACCGACTTTTCCCCTACTATTCTACTTATATTTGTGACCAGGAATAGTGTATTTTCAAAGAAAAAATAATTCCGTAAACACTATGATAATTTTCCACATAATAATTAATAATAATGATAATTATTAATAAGAAGTTAAAATAGAAGATAAAAAGATAATTGCTAACGTTGTACTACACAATCGCAATGATGTCTGTAATTAAATCATAACAGAGAAAAGATTTGACTCTCCGACATTATAGAACGACAAATTGTTTCTTGAAAACTGAAATAGAGTGAGATGCTAGATTATACCGAGAAGTTAAAGGTTATTTTTTCTTTATTAAATTGCGTATTTGTTAAAAACTCGATCAAAAACCGAATAACATATTAACGTTCAATTATCAAATCTTCTTGTTTCATAACAAAATAATTTAGATAAAAATATATACAGAAAAATTTATATGTGCATATGTAAAAGTCAAACACACTTTTAGATTATTTTTAACACTCATACTACAAAGAAAGAACTTGACTTCAAATAAGAGCACTACAGAGGCAAGTTTTTTCGACTCCGGCTCCGAAAAATTTCGCAAGGCTTTTCCCACTTGCACATACAACAACTTCCAAAATTGATCATACAAATTTAATTTTGATTTTTTCCGTAATGATAACTTGCATAAAGAATCCAAATAGTGACTTGAATAGAGAAGGTTGTTTTCAACAAGGATTTGAAACAAATAAAATCTTCACACTATTCCCCAAACCTAACTTTTTAGTCATCGGAACCCGAAAATAAAAGCTTCTTTCGATTATACGGGGTGACAGAGCAGTTAATTCTCTACAAAATGTCGTGTGTTCGAACTCTCCACAATATTTTTTAACTGAGTTACATAAATTTTAAGAGAATCTCAAAAGTTTGTTGTCCTGGTTTCCGTTCGGAAATAGTGAAAAAAAACTATCTTTGAACCTTTTAGGAATATGGTGAAGATTTTATTTCCCTCAAATCTTTGTTGGAAACAATTTTCTCTACATAAGTCACTATTTGGATTCTTTATGCGAATTATCAATACAAAAACAATCGAAATTACATCTGTATAATTCAACTTTTGGAACTGTTGATACTAATTTTTGTGCAACTTATTAAAGAGAATTTCTCTCTAATATTGTTTTTCTTGAAACTTATTTATTAATTTATAAAGAATTGTATTTTTGTTTGTTACTTAACATATGAAGCATAAACTTGTTGCTATGTAAGAGTAAAACTACTTGACTGTTCTAATGATGGAACTTCGAGATTGACTATAAAATAATTCTTCATGATCACTCCAATGGAATTCGAGTCTGATGTAGGGTTCTATGTCAAATAGATTACACAGTACAGAGATGATGACAAGAGAACATAACTTATGAGTTAATATTCCGAACTTGATCCGTTTAAATTTTTTACTTAAATAAACATACCAGAACTAGAAGAAGGAAAAAGAAAAGAAAACCAATACAAGAATCTTTGCAATATATTTGCAATCATTAGTCATTTTCTTATGTTGTTAATAAAGCGAAGTAAAATAAATGCAAATAGTATTCAAATATTTGATAATATTCATTATCTTATTCTGTCGAAAATAATGACAATTTAATTTCTCCAGCATCTCGTCTCTCAAATAATCCTCGTTATGATCTCTTTGACGGACCTTGATATGTTTCATTTATAAATTGAACTATGTACGATATAATTTAACGAGAGAATATATTAACGTATTCTCCCTAGAAATAAGATGATGCCAAGAATATCTTGTAGAGAATTCCTTTCTGATCATTTCCGTAAAAAAAAACTTTTTCGATTTGGTTAAAAAATAACAGAGATACGATACAAATATTGAAATGGCCAAAAATGCACTTACGCCTTTGCACTCATGTTTCAGTAGTTAGTGTCCAATGTTTATTATTTTTACAAAAAATGATTAGAAAAGAATTATCTACAAAACATGACATTTTACGTTTAATTCTGAGATATTTAATTCATCATAGAAATATCAACCTCAAAGGAGAATTACATCATAGTTCTCTCGAATTTTTTAAAAGTTCGATCGGTGATAGCTAAAATATCGACATATGTAATCAGCAGAACATTTCCTACAAAATAGCCTAGGCTTCATGTCGTTCCTATGGAAGAACACTTAAATATGTTCCTTGATAATTCAAGAAAGAACCACCTGCACAAAAGTATCCTGTGAAAGTTTTTGCGAGGTAGAACATTTCACAAGTATTGTTACATACAACAAAGCATATTATCCGATGAAATCAAGTATAATCCGCAATTTAATTTCTAGATAAAAAGAAACACTTCAAAGTAATATAAAATGTATCACATTACGTGTATATCCTAGTCAGAGATGAACACAGAATAGAATGGTACGTCATTCAAAGACCATGTACAATGACAAATGTATGATTTTGAGAAAAAGATCGACTCAGTAGTGTTCAGGTATCCAAAAAAAAGGAATTTTCTGTAATTTTCTTTTTCAGAAATTTGAACATACCCTCAAGAAAAATATTTTCGAAGATGGAAGGACGTTCATTCCCAATTCTAGCCTCTAAACCCGTCACTCGATCTGTCATGCAAGATAACTGATAGCATGACGGCACAAACTATACAAGTTGGTCTTGAATTTTTATATAAGTTTTTACTCTAAAACTTTTCAATAATATTTATCGTTTTCGGTGACACTTGACATTTACTTTGAGTTATTGATGCTACCAATAAAATGGCAAATAGAGATAATTTCAACGTTATTCCATTAATCGATATTTGTGTATCAGGTGCTACTTTGTGAATGCAAAAGAACATTGTAATCAATATTTCTACAAAGACGAAGTATTCTAGCCATCTGATAGTAAGAGTTCAATCTTGCTCTAATCTAATCATTCGTCTCGTCATATACCAATTTACAATTGTTGTAAGAAAGTAGCTAAATCGATGTCCGTTGGAGAGAATAACTTTCGAAGCATTTTATTAGGTTTTTCATGACACTTGATTGCTTCTGTCAATTCTTCTTAACTACTCTTGCACATCTGATAAGCAAAAAAAAGTTATCTTCTAATTAGATCGTTACATAATGATAGAATTTGCATTTTTCTTTCATTCCAGTGAGCCACACATAATATGAAGAAGAATTTAAAACTTTCTACAAGATATTTTAGATAACTAACGACAACTATTGATCATTTTCTGTATGAAACATATAAAATTGATATAATATGGACTGACGAACTGTAATGTAATATCAAGGCTCATGCCAATTTAAGTTCATTTCCAACGACCATTGAAAAGTTAGGAAGGTGTTTATTGAATTTCAAAGTTAACTCGGACATAAAATAAAATAACGTTTAATCATGTCAACTTAATTTTATTTTTATTTACTTTTAAAGAGTATTTTTTTCCTCTTAATTTGCTTACAGATGTATAAAATTTCTTGTGCGTTGACTTAGATGATCTGTTTATCCGACTGATCGTGACATCTATCATTATCTAATTTTCATCCATTAAACTTAAGGTCAATTTGTAGAACAAAGATTGAACGAAACAAAATAAACAGGGTGACAACTATCGTCTGATTTCTTCAATAATTGAATGATATTAACAGTCTAAGACATTTCAGAAATGTCTTTTTGATTTTATATTCATTTTTTCTTCATTGGTTTCTTTTTTAATAAATAAATATGAATTATCTATTTTCTCTTATCATAACACAAAAACTTCCGACAGATTTTTTTTTAAAGTTCAAGCTGTATGAAATGTTTGTGAAACTTTTCATTAAACCATCGTAAAATTATTTTTTTGATTTTATAACTTTTAGATATTCTATCTCCATCGATAATGTCAGATAATAGTGACGGTAGTAGTCCATCAAAAACACGTGCATTTAAAAGATCACGTTCGGTAAATACAAAAATTAATGAAATCTATTAACTTACTCATCTTTTTTTAATTATATGATTTTAGCCTGATCATTCACCAATTCATGAACGAAAATCTAAATTTGCTAAAATTGAAGTAAGAATTCACTTCTTTTACAAAAAAAAATATTATTAAAGAAATGTACTTAAATGTAACATTAACAGAGGATTTAATATTATGACCAAATCGGAAGATTTCTTTTATTCAGGTTTTCATATGAAAAGTTTGCTTGAGAAATTTATTCATGTTGGAACGAAGTATATATACAGCTTTGAGTTTAGTCAATTATATAAATTTAATTTTTTCTATGCATTTCTTGTTACTCAATGTATAGGAAAAGTATTGTTATCGTTACCTAAACTTTAGCTGAAAGTAGACAAGTGGATATTTCTGAGTATTTTTTTGTTCAGAAAATGAAAAAATACTAGGCAAGCAAAAATACTTTGAAATATTAGCTTATCGACCTTGAGTAATGCTCTTATTGTACAACCATAACTTATTTTGTTTTGCTACGATTAAAGACGAACCATTGAGAAGACTAGATGTGGTAATGAAATAATTATTATAAGGATTATACTTATTTATTTGACTTTCTACTGCTGATTTTCTGCTTCGTTGTGGATTTAGATAAATCACACATCTCCATTCAGACTTGTTATTCATATCACCACTCACACCCATATTTTATGTGTTCGACGTGTTAGCTTCGACAATTTTACTTACAACCAAATTTGTATTGTGATTATTTGTTTATAAGTTATAAATATTAAGTTTTTCCTTTCGAAACATTGACGGTTAACTCATCCTTTCGAACACTAAAACATTGAAATTATGTATAATTCTAAAAGAGATTATCTAAGAATTAAATATTCAATCAATCTCGGATGTTCATGATAAAGATTTAGTAATATATTTCTATGCAAAACGAATCCCTATAGAATATTTTATAAGTATATTCGTTAATATTTTTCTAAATAAACGTATTGATCTTTTAAACACTGGTACGGCACATATGTATGCTGCTTGCAACAAATCATAGAACTGTATCAGTTAGATCAATGACAAATAGTATGCATTTCCAGATTCGCAATGATAAAGTCATACATGATCGAAAAGTTTTTAGGCACAATTTTTGCTCGCTTTTGACCCACTCATGTGTTTCTGTCGAAGCTATTAATCATGATAATTCCTATTCATAAAATAATGCTAAACGACTTCATTTTTTCAATTACTTATTAGCTTCCTTTATAGAGACACTAAGAACAGATAGACGAAATAGAAATATCTTTATTAAATAGACGAACGAATTTAAATATAGTCATATTAAGTTTTATAGTGACTTAGTTTTCTTCGTTATTGAACAGAACGAACGATATAACCTATTATTACCCATTTTATTCATAAAGAGAAAAAGTTGAACTTTCCACGTGCTGACGAAATAATTTATATTGTCTTATTAATTTTTCATCTTTTTCTCTTCATTTAAACCGTATTCAATCAACAGTTGTCATATAATAATTGTACAAAAAAATCCGACGCTGCACGGTAGAGTAAGGGTATGAAAATACAATATTTATCTGAAACCATATATAGATATGTTCATCGATGAATCCAATTCTAGTGAAAAATTCATCAGAAATATGATTAGAATAGTTATTATCTATCGAATTTTGTATAAGCATTTTATCTTTCATCATCTTAGTATTTAATCATTTCGATCGTTTTCAAAATAACTTTTATTTGAATTCATCATTTATTCTATATCGCTTTTCGTGATTTGAAATCTTAAGAAGCAAAAGAAAAATTGAAGTGATGCAAACATTTTTTTCGTCTCTCTTCTCATTAGTCTATACACACCTGTTCTATACTGAGTGTCAGTTGTTGATCTCTATTTATTAACACAAAAAAAGAATATCGATTTCTCTTAGTTAAATCATGGCAACTGACGTTCTTTCGTCAAATTCTTTCACAGTATATAAACGCTTGATTTTTAAAAAGTTATGATATAGATGATATATTTCATGCTGCTGAAGGTGTTGCACAATCTACACAGGACCTTTTTAACTGTCTCACAAAATCGAAATTTTCTATTGTGAAAAATTAGGTCTTGTCTAGTTATGTGCATCATGTTCGCTGCTTTACACCTCGACGAGATTATAGTGTTTGTTGGTTGTTATTGTTTTCTTGTTTTTTTTTTCTTTCCTTTTCCACTCTTTACGTACTTATATATTGATTCCACTAGCGAACAAAACCATAAAGGAGGACAATAAAAGAAGATAAGTCTTCTATGTTGATATTCTCTTTTTGTTTATAATTTTTCATGCAGAAACAGTATCGATCGGAATGGTTTCACTCCGAATTTCATTTATACGTAAGTGATTATGTAGAAAAAAGCATTGAAAAAATTAAGAAACGAGTATTCGTAGTTTAATAGATTGATTTAATATCAAATTAGTATATTAATTATGAATATTTATTCTGTTTTTAGTTGCAACAAGACAATGCTGGTAAGGATATCAGTAACAAAGAAAATCACACGAATTATAAACAATCTGGTATGATATAACAAAAAAAAAAGACTAGTAATGATTTATTTAGTGATGATAGTTAGAATGAATTAGTGTTGCTTAGATGCATAGTGAAATGTAATTAAACTTTTTAGAGAAATACTGAGTAGAATCTGAATGTAAAAGAATTATAGTGCATGTTTCTATTTAATATATTAGAATAAAACAATGTTTATCTTATTATCGAATAGAATTGATTGATATAGATATGTAGATTCTACTTGGGGATGAAAGAAACTCTACTTATGGAAAATGCTGTCGATTTACATTTATGATGAGTGATATATCTCATTTCTATTGATGAAAAAATTTGTCGTCGTCGGATTTTCTGAGATTCTTAATTGTTCGAATTACGAGCAGGAATTTAGGGAATAGGAAGATGTGCTAATCACTAAAAATACCCCTGAAATTTAAACCAGAACAAACGTAAATTCTTCAAGACATCAGTTCATCATTAAAATGTGAATATCTCGATAGGGAAAAGTTCGTTCTAACTCAAGCTTTTAATGGCTATAATATCCTGCTATAGATAGAAACTTGATCGTTCCAGTTCGCAGAAAGTTGTATACTCATCGACTTATAATCAAGCACAATGTCGATCATTTGACAAGAGAGGATTTGCGAAACCAAACGAAAATGGAGTTATTACTAGTCACTAAGACCAATGGAATACTAACAATCTTAAGCGAAAATTGATTAAATAATGGATGAGATAAGTAAGATCACGTGAGCATAGTCTCGAGCCAAGCAAAATAAAAGTGTAATGCAATCGAAGAACATTCAGTTCTGCATATGTTTTGTTTTTCAAACTGTCTTCTAACAGTGTATCAACTAAAAAGGGAACAATTTCTTGGAGATGAATTTTCACTTTTGTCGAATTTCAAAGTGTTCTTCTAAGAAGGCAAGTCTGAATAAAAGGCTGCGATTGAAGCTGGGTAACGAGAGTCTTCTTTTTGCCATACATTTATTTTGTGTTCAAAACAATAATCAATTATAACTAAAGTTCAACAGAATGATGAATACTCGTTTCTTAATGATTGGAATTTCATGACTGAGTTTCTGAACATTTATGTTATAGACTTGTAACATTGTTATATTTTTACCTTATAGATCAAAGAAATGTTCATTCAAGTGCATTCATAGAAACGATATATTTACAGTAGAGTCTCTCATGCCCATAATTTTTAGACTCGCGCCAGGTTCAATCATAGTTGAATATTCTCAATGAAATTTTTTAATCGGAATTGGATAGCTGACTGGAAAGATACTTCTTTTTTTCGGTTTATTGTCTTTAGTGACTAGCGCATCTTACACGTTTCTCAGACGATTAGAGCTTGTCGACTTGATCTCAGACGTGATGGGGTCTAATTTATAGTCTTCTACATATTTATTATGATATAATATTTGAATCAAAAAAACAAGTTTGAATTCTATTTAGAAATGGTTATGGTAAAATATTCTTTATCCACATGTAATAATGAAGAAGATGATCAAGATGATGGTATCATCATTGATCATCTGGATTTATCATCTGTACCTTTTCCTTGGTATCGTTCTCATCCATTATGGTCAAATATGATGGCGAAAACATTTGATGAAACATACAAATGTCATTCAAATTTTCTTGATGCACATCCAGCTATAACAACTAAAATGCGATGTGTTTTATGTGATTGGCTTATTGAAGTAAAATTTTTTTTAAAATTGTTTTTTTAGTACAAAACATATTTTGTAGGTTGCAGAAGTTTATCATCTTCATCGAGAAACATATCATTTAGCTATAGCTTATATTGATCAGTATTTGTGTAATACAAATAATTTACCTAAAGGCAAACTTCAATTATTGGGTATAACCGCACTATTTATTGCAGCTAAAATAGAAGTAAATATAATCCATTGTTTATCCTACAAAAAAAAATAAACTATATTGTTTTTATTAGGAAATATATCCACCACGTATATCTGAGTTTGCATATGTTACTGATAAAGCCTATTATGAAGGTGATATTCTTGATATGGAACTAGATATAATGAATGTAAGTGTTTATATTTATATGGCATGTTAAATAATTTGTGAATTTTAAGGTATTAAATTGGTATATAAATCCCATGACATCAATAAGTTGGTTATTAGCTTTTCTTCAAGTTGAATCAGAAATTGAATTGATGAATAATAGTTTAACATCATCACTATCTCCAACAAATGTTACACCATCACATCATGATCGTTGTATTAAAAAACGACGTATATCAGTATCAAGTAGTCAAAGACCGTCATCATCAGAGAGTGAAATTTTGAAAACTTCAATTTTAACAAATGTACATCGAACACCAATGTTTCTTCAAACATTTTCATTAGCTGTTCGAGTAAATTTATTTTTTTTTGTATTCAAACGAAAAAATATACATCTTGAATTTTTTTGTTTCAGTTACTTGATTTTTGTTCACTCGATATTGAATATTCACAATTTCCGAAGAATGTATTGGCTGCAACAGCTATTCTTGCTTGCAGACCAAATTGGCCTGTTGAACAGGTTACTTGTAAGTTAGGATATGATTTAATTAGGATGGACAATGTTATGTACAATAGAAATCTCGGACTCGAAGAAAAAAAACAGTAGTTGATATGGTGGAGATCGGATGAATGAAATGCAGGTGACAGGCTTCCGAGAGAATCTCTTCAATTATTCTGTTCCAATTTCAATGATTGTTTGCCTATACATATTAAATAGTGTTCTAATAAATACTCTAAAAGAATTTTGGCTCCTGTTGACATTTCACTTATCTATGGAATTTGTAATATGTGTCTTTTGTAGGTGCTTCCGGTTTTTTGAAAACTCGTATGTTCGAAGTTTAAACTAAAACCGTGGATATAGAGAATTGAACTAGAATAGCTTTCTTCAAAAATGTCATGTTGCATACACAATGCATGGAAAATGAACTATATCCTGAAAGTCTCATATTTCGAAGGAACTTTGCTCAAAACTTTTTGAATTTTTCATGGAAGCTAATCTACTTGAGTTTTTTGAAACCCGAGAGCTCTATAAAACAGATATATTAAGAATTCAATTGCTTAGTCAAATGTCAACAGGAATGCAAAATCCTCTTAGGATTCTTATTAGAACACTATGTATTGTCAATAGGCAAAAAAAATTGGAATTGAAAGAAGGCAGGCGAAGAGAATTTGGTCCTTAGTTTTTGGATGATGATACGAAACGGAAAAAGATATAAGGTCTACATATTTTTTATTCTTTTTTTACGACAGTAAGCATTTAAATTTAAACCTAAATCTTGGTTTCAATAACCAACAAAATTCTCTATTAAATGCATTTCATGAATGGAGTATGCGAGGGAAGTTTCTGAATGACCAAACATAATCGTTTTCAGGTCCCATAGAGATTATATGGAAATTCGTTTTTATTAATACTATCTTAAAAAGAACGAAATCATAAATAGAATGAAAGATCATCACATTTCTTACCATCTCCGATTGAAAAGTTATTACTACCAAAAAAGATAAAAAATACTGAAACTTGTCATAATATTGCTGGAAAACGTATCTTTTTTATTTGTGATGCTTATAGCTTTTTAAGGCAAGGTCATAGGAAATACGGTGGTCCTTCATTTTGTTTAGAACTTTGTGGTCTTTAAGAGTCTAGTCCTAAAAGCTAATTTTAACATAGTCTTATGGAATCTGAAAACTATCGTGATCAATTTTACAGAAATCTTCCTCTTATAGAGTATCCATCAAGTGCATTTAATAAGGGATTTCATCAGTTATTCAAACCACTATTCGAATAATAGTTATAAATGCTTGGTATCATAGAAAAATAAATTGACCTTTTATTTTCGACCCAGTACTGTATAATATATAGCAATTAATGTTTGGAGAAGTATATCGTTTCATTTACGTTTCAAAATAGCCACTAAAAGTAATGAAAATTTACATCCTGCTGTTATGATAGTAACAATAGGAGAGAAAAATCGTGTCGTTAAGACTCACCGATAAAGATCGGGACTTTAGTCTCGTCGTAAATTACGAAGCTGGACAATTGGCAGTAATGTACTTCGCGATTTGTTTTTCTCTTGAAAGAATTTTTCATTGGTATTTATTATAGATCCTAATAGTTGCAAAATCATATGGTTATTATATTCTGTCTGATTATTTGTCTTTTTTTTTTCTTCAGCTTTAAACGATGATGATCTATATATATGCAGTGATTGGATGAAACCATTTTTTGACGTACTTTATTTTGGTCAAAATCTAATGTTAATACCAGTTCCAGCATCACGACCATCACCTGCTGTACCTATCGATGAGATTTATTCAATACAAATACATAATATCTCTTTGGATTTACTTGTAAATTAATTCAATTTGGATATTTTTTTCAATTCTTTTTTTTTTATTTAATTTCAATCTTTTAGGAAAATGTTTATAAAAAACGTCCGAAATTTATTCCACCAGTGGCAAACAATCGACCCTTTCGGAATCTTGTCAATCGTTTATCATGGTTACCAACACCACCAACATCTTTAGAAAAGCAACAACATGAAATTATTGTTAATGAAGAAGAACAACTTCAAATAGAAGAAGTCGTATCAGTATAAACAAATCGAGTCAGATCTATATATTTTTTTTTTCTATAGCAAAAGATAGATAGAGTATGTGTCTTTTTTTATTATTATTTTCCATCTTCTCTATTTTCTTAAAATGATCATCGAGATTTATATTCTGGTGATAAAAAAGTCAGATGAGAAAGATATCAAAATAGTTTTTCTCTTGTTGCTCCTTTTTTTATAAAAAAAAAAAAAATAAAACCCGGCAAATAGCCGATATTTTCTTTGTGTTCTTCTTCTATTTCGACTACTTTTTTTGTTCATTCGATTGTTTTTCTTTCTGACATTTATTCCAAATGACTGTTTTACACATTATTTTTCTTTTTTTGTTGTCATCGTCGATTTATGTTTGTAAAGTCTACTTGTTCATCAAAGTTGTATTTGTTGTTTTTCTTTTCTTTTGTCTTATGTAAGCCCTTTTCTCCCTGTCTTCGTCTAATTCTCATACGTGTTTTTCTGTTGTTTGTCATGTCGGATTTTCTTCATGCTATTGTTGATGTTTATGTGTGTCCAACGACGATTTATGAGAGTGAAAAAAAAAGTAGTAATAAGAACATCGAAAAGATAAAGGTTGAAAAAGAAAGTCGTCGTAAAAAAAATAAAAAGAGAAGATGATTGTTATTTGATTTGTTACAGTTTGGAAAAAAGAGAATGATGTGTTGTTAAATATATTTTTTTTTTGAAATTAGGAAAAGAAAGAAAAATTAATTGAAAATAGATTTATGTAATACTCTTTCTGATAAATGACATTTTCAATTGATAGTTTTCATGATCGTCAAATTCATCTATTACAACGTTGTATACTATCTGTTTTTAGATGACAAAACACCCATTTGTTTGACTCATTCAATAACCAATGATAACATCGGTGAATGCATGTTGTCTTTTGATGATTCAACTATTTATACCACTTCTTCTGATTATTATCGTTTATCTCACTGCACTTCCATAGGTCATCTGTTAGTCGTACTTTCATATCATGTTCTTTTTTTCTTTCTTTCTCTATGCATCAATTTTGGATACTTGATTACTGTTTAAAATGAATACAAACGAAATTTGCTTTTCATGCATCAATTGATGGAAATATATACAGTAGATACTAACCTTGTTGAGCAAGGTTCATTCGCAATTTCTATTTGTGATCTTAAGCATTAAAAAGAATCCACATAGTAATGCTGATAGTAAAAATTGTTTTCAAGAATAATATAAAGAAATGAAAATAATTCTCAAAGTTGCCAAGTCAAAGTGTCTGGAAAGCCAAAAGTCAAGTTTTCTATCATGCAGGACTTGCAAGTATAATATTGAACGATAGAGCAAACAACTCTCTACAAAATGTGACATCCCAGAGCTCTCTGCGACGTTATTTGGTTGAGATGCGGCAATCTTACAAAAGCAGTTTCTTTCTAATATTTTCTATGAGAAAATGAATTTTTGAGTTGGCAATCACATTGCTGTATCTTAGTCAAAAAAATGTCGTAGAGCTTAATTTTCAACAAGAGTTTTTGAAGATGAAAAAAATTGATAGTTTCCCAAGAATAGAGTCGCCGAAAAACAGAAAACTAAGTTTTTCAGCTACTAGAAATGGTCCATAGAATTCTGTTCAAATTATTCTGCATGATAGAGCAAATAAGTCTCTACAAAATGAAACATGTTTCAGCTCTTCACGACAGGTCTTTTAACCGAAATATATCAATCTTACGAAAACCACAGAAGTCGTTTGTTCTTTTATTTCGTATGGAAAGTAGAGAGCGTCGAATTGGTCCTGAGTCGAACTCTATAGACTGTAGTTATCTGAGAAATGTGCAGAGTGCACTAATCATCGAATACAGAAAACTGGAAAAAAATATTTCATATTTTCGAGTAACTATCCAATGTAGATTTGAAAACTTTATTAAGAGTATCGAATTATAATTTGACTGGGTTCCAAAAATTTAGATTTGATCGGCTCTAATGGAAACTTCATTATTGTGTCTTTAGAAGATTGATGAGTCTCGGTCAAAAAAGTGTCATAGAAAATTGGAAGACATTTTACGTCGTAGAAAAACTATTTACTCTATCACTTGAAATAATTCGAATGGAATTACCTTAGCAAATTCTATCAGCTGAACAACTTGGTTTTTAGTTTTTCAGAGGCTTCCTACTTGAAAAATCAGCAATCATTTTCATCTTTAAAAATTCTTGTTGGAAATAAAACCTTCTACTCGAATTACCATTTGAATTCTTATTAGCATTTACGGGAGACGAAAAAAATTGAAAATAAACCTGATCGAATAGTTTAGGCCACCACTGTATATGTGTATTATTTTGATAAATATTTTTAGATCTACATATTGATTCTCTATAGAACGATGGGTATTTGTCTTGGTTCCTTAGGTTCATCGATTGCATGTTGTTTTGGCAATGCATTCTGTTCACTTTGTTGTTCAGCATGTCCATCGTGTAAAGGTTCAACATCAACACGTATTGCTTATGGTCTTATTCTTCTTGCTGGCCTTATAACATCATGTATTATGTTGATACCCGGTCTAGAAAAAACATTAAGTAAAATTCCAGCTTTATGTGAAACTCCAACCTCAAGCAGTACACTATTATTTGCATTTGATTGTTCAAAAATAATCGGATCTCTGGCTGTTTATCGTATTTCATTTGGTATGACAATTTTTTTTTTTATTTTATCATTATTGGTAAGTTTATGATATTTGAATAAATAATATTGGATGGCGTTGATATGTATCTAGATGATAAAAGTGAAAACATCAAATGATTTTCGAGCAAACATTCAAAATGGTTTTTGGGGATTTAAGTTACTGATACTTGTTGGTTTAATTGTTGGAGCTTTTTTTATTCCACATACTGGTTTTGATTATGCATTTATGATTATTGGACTGATTGGAGGATTTATTGTTAGTTAAAATTTTGTTATGTTTTCTTATTTTAATTTCTCTCATTTTATAGTTTATTCTTGTTCAATTGCTTTTATCAATTGATTTTGTTCATTCGTAAGTGTCAATAGCTGAATAGAGAAAAAAAAACTGCCTTTTCGATAAATCATGAAGACTTTCTGTTTATTAGGAAAGAAGAAAAATTCTTTAATAGATTTTTAATAGAACGACTATTTAGTAAACATGAACAGAATCTATTGAGGTCATTCAAAATTTCAATCTTTAATTTGAATTTCGAAGGAAAAAGTTTTGCTCTTTCTAATAAACAGAAATTTAAATCTTTAAGCTTATCGAAAATTCATAGACAAAAAAAAAATTGTTTCCTTTAGATGGAATGAATCTTGGGTTGATCATGTTGAATCTGGTTCAAAACGACATGGCTATGGTTTACTTTTTTTTACCTTTCTTTTTTATGTATTAACAATAACTGGCGTTGTTCTATTTTATATTTATTATGCACCAGATCGTTCTATTTGTCGTTTACATACATTTTTTATTTCATTTAATATGTGTTTATGTATTATATTATCGATTATATCAATATTACCATGTGTAAGAGAATATAATTCATCATGTGGTCTTCTTCAGTCGTCATTTGTTAGTATCTATGTGATATATTATACATGGTCTGCAATGAGTAATAATCCAAATGAACTCTGTAATCCAAATATTCGTTTAAAAGCTCATGCAATAAATTCAACAACAACAACACCAAATCCAAATCCCATACGACAACAACATTTATTTGATCCAATAACAATTATTGGTTTAATTTTGTTTGTTGGTTCACTTTTTTATTCAATTATAACCACATCACGTAATAATCGTGCAAAAAAATTATTTTTATCGTCACCCATTGATTCAACAATATTAGATGATGCACAATTAGTTAATTCAGTATCTGGTAATAAATGGATATTAGGTAGTGATGAACATAGTCATCAACGAGTTTATGATGATGAATGTGGATCAGTTACATATAATTATTCATTATTCCATTTAATGTTTGTACTTGCCACATTATATGTCATGATGACATTAACGAAGTAAAAAAAAAAGCTCGTCGGCGCACTTCTTCTAGGCCTAATATGTGGAACTCGAGGTCGTGACAAAATTTCAAATTGTTACTAATTTTTATCAAATCTCTTATTTCTGATTTTTGACACAAATAACTTATGATAAATAACAGAACAGCAGCTATCAGAGATAACAGTCCAGCAATGTTATTCTGCTGATATTAATATTTGTTTCGGTTATGATAGCAGTATCTATTCGTACCACTCTGATAACGTACTCTTACAATTACCTTGACTCTCATTTATGCTCAAATACAGTAAATGTCTGGTTTCTGATTTCTTAACTATTTTGTATTGATACGATTCAAAAGAATAGCTAATTCCATTTATATATTAGCTTAAATTAGTAGGATTTTTTCTGATTTGTAAAAATTTTGAAGAATTGAAAATTATAATAATTTTGACACAGAGGTTTTTAAATTAGTACCAATTTGAGATTTACCATTCCATCTGAAACTCACATATCTTCTTTAGTCTCTTTATAGTAGTATAAAATACGCAACGTGAAACATCTCTAACAGACTATAGTTTTATTGTAAGGATAATCGATCGTCAAGAAAAAGATCTATCGAATTTATTTCTGCATTTCGGATAGAAATTGTTTTTCTACTTATACTAGTCTATATTTTTTGCTTGCTGCATAGCTTTTCAGAAATGAAATCGGTTGAGTTTCAAATTGAATTAATTTCGGTTAGGTTCGAACTTTGTAAAAATTCAGTCGATTAAGTTCCAAAAAATACGAACTGATTCTGTCTCTGCTTTTCATTTTCGTAGTCCGTTTTTTTTAATTTAATATTATTATTATTCTAATCATCGATATAACTGGCAAATAAACGTGTTGTGCATATCAATTATATCTACAGCAGGTATCAGCGCAATGTTATATATCTCGATAAGGGTCACAAACACTGATATTGATTATTTCCTACAATTATGGTTTGATCAGTTCACGCTTTTTATGTTGATCATATGA